CTGCCATATTCGTTTTCAGGAGCCAAAAATACATCAAAAACACGTGGTCGTTTGTATGATTTCGAATATGCAGCTCATCCGAAGGTTTACCAATAAATTTTCAGTTCATGATAACAATTATGTTATTTGGCATTGTTTGAAACGTTGCACAATACACAACAAAAGACTATTTCGCACTTTTTCGCACATAGGCCGGTATTCATAATCGGATCTTATATTTAAAACCGTCTTAAGTACAATCTTAAGATGTCATGAACCAATCAGAAGGCCGCATTAGCGACTTAAGACATTACTTAAGACGGTCTTAAAATAAGAACCTACTATGAATACTGGCCATAGACACTTTTTTTAGCTACTGAATCGGATGCACACGTAATGCTTTCAATATGGCTTTTACATTATATGCACTGTGCACATAGAATATGATAACGAATGCCGTTTCGCCGCGTGACAGGATGTAGCACGTTCGCCGCGCCTGCATAAAAAATTATAAACTTATGTCTGGCACAAAAGATTATAAATTTATGCCCGACAATAAGCGATATGATATCTTAAGACCGTACTTAAGATAATTTGAAATACAAAAGCCGACTATGAGAATACCGACTTGTGATTACAAATGTATGTCATTTCTAACATCTTAAGACTGTACTTAAGATAGTTTTAAATATAAGAGCCGACTGTGAGTATCCATTGAAAAAAGTGATCTTGCAGTTACAGCGAAAATTATCTAAGTACGAAAAATAGCTGGAAGATAAATTTCTAGCAGATACTGCGATATTGGATATGTATTGCATCTAATCATATAGATGACAGAGATAGAATTTAGATTTGTGCTATAAATTCTATACGTATGATATATAATTTTCTATCAGATACAAAAAACAGTTATAATTCTAGCTGGAGCAGCAAAATATTGTTTTGCGTGTACAGAACCGTATTAGCATCTTAAAACGTTCGTAATCCATTTTTATTTCTAGACTGTCTTATGTAATGTCTTAAGATGTTAATACGCGGCTCCTTGGTTAGTTTATAACGTTTTGAGATTGTATTTAAGACAGTATTGAATATAAGAATCCACTATGAATACCGGCCTATAAATTTCGGCCAAAGAGCCATTTTAATGAATACTAGTTAAAGATATAATAAAATAATTTTTATGGCAAGTTCATAAAATGTTTAATAAATATTAGAACATTAATGTTCATGCAGCTTATTGTTTCGTTTGCTAATGGCAACTGTAATCTCAATCTCTTGAAACACTTTAAATAAAGCTGATAAGATATTATCTGCATCTAAATAAGAATTTGATCTATCCTTACAACTCAATCATTTGATATTTGTACGTGATACAGTTGTAGCAAAAACATGAAGAAAGTATATCTCGCTGCTTTAGCAGGTACGTCATTGGGATAAAATTAAGTAAAATCTTGTCAGATATGGATTTTAATATTTTATTATGCCAACTTTAAATTAAAATATTTCTTTAGCTGTAGAAATAAATGTCTTAGAATTAAAAGAAGTTCGCGATTGAAATTAATGAATAGAGAATAATCTGTCAATTAAAATCTATAAAGAATTTTTATAAATCAAATTTGTCTTCTTCTATCTAATTAATACAATTTTTGATGTATTAAAGCATTCTTTTATTTTGATAGGAAATCTAGGTTCGCTATCAGTGGGCTTAAATGTAGGCTGGGCATCACCATCCGTGCCTTTACTGATAAATGGTGATGATGCTGAGTATCCTGTGCGTTTGAACTTGGAAGAAGCCTCTTGGGTGACATCTTTACTTACTCTTGGTGCCGTTCCGGGTTGCATTATTTCTGCATTAACAGTGAATATTATCGGCAGAAGGAACACCATGCTATTTTCAGCTGTGCCTTCGGTAATTGGCTGGTTGCTGATAATCTTCGCAACATCATCGTCGGTAATTCAGTAATAGCTGTATTCATTGAGTATAACACCCGAGTATTTTCTAGAAAATGATATATTGAATGCGTAAAAGCATTGAAAGTTAACATTCAAAATATTCGTGAGATATCAATTCTATATTAAATTATAAATAGTCATAATTCTTCTTATCTAATTCTTCTTATCTTTCAAACAAAGTTCTTCCAAGTTTTTTCAATTTCTTGAAGTTTAGAAGTATGTACTTCTGATTATAACTTTAGTTTTTAATAGCATAATCTATTTTTCTTGGACCTCTTTGAATATTTCGCGACTTTCAGTTTAAATTGCAGATTCTTTTGCGATTTTATTTCGCTCTAATATGAAACCAAACCTAAAATCTCGATCTTTAATTAACAAGAAATGTTTTTCTTCTTAGTAAAGTCTTCTTTTGATAAGCTTATACACCGTGATTTACAGATTTATAGATTTATAGATTTGATTACATTGAAATAAAAAAATGCTGCCACATTCATGACGAGTTCAGAGGGCAACTACAGACTTACAATAAGTTAGTAGCTTGCATTATGTAACTAGGTATTTGCTTCGCAGGATCTATACGTATCGAGGTTTTTATCCGGAGTGGGTATGGGCATGTATATTTCAATCACGCCGATGTATTTGGGTGAGATTTCGCCGGCAAAAATTCGCGGTTATTTGGGATCCATGATGACAGTCGATTTGAAACTCGGTATTTTGATCGAGTTTGTGATAGGTCCGTTTCTTTCGGTGAGAAATCTCGCCCTTATCTCTTTAGCGGCACCTTGTCTGTTCGTGGTCACTTTCGTCTGGTTACCAGAATCTCCGTACTATTTTTTACGCTGCGACGCCAAGCAGAAAGCTATCAACTCTCTTGTTCAATTGAGAGGCAAAAAGGATGTTTACGAGGAGGCAGATACTATTGAGCAATCTGTAAAAGCCGATTTAGCTAACAAAGCTGGTCTACGTGAACTCCTATTTGTACGGCGAAATCGCAGGTAAGACGTCACATTTCGATTTGTCATTATTATGTATGTTTTCTGTGCCTGAATTGTCCAGATAGCATTTATACGGCACAGTAACCGTACGTTACGGAGTCGTAAAGCTCTGAAACGTCACGCTGTGTACGCATGTTAAGCCCATGGCACATACAAAAACGTAAGGCCATAAGATGTAATCAGTAAGCGAATTGGCTAATGACGATAGAGACCGTAAGGCCAGTAGCGAATCCAATGTTACGATTTCCTTACTGCTTACGTTTTACGGCCTTACGTTTTTGTATGTGCCATGGGCTTTACACTCATGTAAGACATCATGTGTTGAAATTCGTGAAGTCACCTGAAACAAATCATATAGGGGAAAGTGGGGGAACTGTGCGCAGCGGGTAATTGTGCGCATCCTGATTTGATACTTTTCCAATGGATGACGATATTACTGTGGTGAAATTTTTACGCAGGAGGTCGTCCTTTTAAGATATAACTATTGTACAAAAGATTCGACGTAAATACGTTGCTACCCAGAGAAATACAAAAAAATGAAATCACATCTTTTCTTGTTATTTTAGCATTCAGAAAATAAGGTGATAAATCCGTATTTTTAATTTATTTGTTTAGTTGCATAAGTTGCATACGTTATTAAAGTATGTTATTATGTGCGTCTTTTGAGCTGTTATTTATTAAATTTGGTTAAGAAATGTTGAAGTAATCGTATTTCATATCGAGTCAGGTCGCGGCGGGCAACTGTGCGCAAGCGTTTTGAAATGCGCACAATTACCCATCTTCCATATACTATATGACTAACACTAATTTTTTCGTTTCTTCTTTGCATTATTATTTTATTTTGCCATTTTATTTTGCCAAAGTCTACACTGAAAAAAAAGATTGGCTGCTGCAGCAAATTAGATGATTAAATATGGCATAGCATTTTTAATTGGTTGCAGCAGCCAATTTTTATTTAAAATATATTTAATATATATTTATATTGCAATATAATAAATATATTTTCTGATTTTTTTGTCAATATTCCATAATTCATTCATTTCCTACGACTTTTGCTTTGCGCACAATTACCCGACGCGCGAGAAATATTTTCGCTTTTCCGTTTTTTCCTTTTTGCTAAATACAACCTTATTGAATGAAAATCTGTTCAATATGAGGATACATAATGGTAGAAGAATGTTTATTGTTTTTATTTCCATACTTATATCGCTTTGAACTTGGAAAACCATTCCAGGACAATAAATTTCCCTTAGATGCGCACAATTCACCCACTTTCCCCTAAACAGCACGTTAACCGCATATTGCCAGCACGATGTTAACTTTATAGCTGACACACAGTTACGTTGTAGCAGCATGTTGACTGCACAATAAATAATACAAATTCTGTCTTTTTGGAACAGCATGCTGAGCACACAATCCTGTTACGGCGTGTAAAATTTTTATTAGTTTTCATTCTTGGAGCCCAATTATGAGAACTTATCTCATCATTATTGGCTACGTTCAACAGACTCAAGTATTGAGTCTGCTGAACGCAGACATTTTATTAAAAAAAGGAATAAAATTTTTGACTGAGAAGTCTCATTATACTGCGCCTTTTATCCTACTCGATGTGGTTTTTTAAATACGAGAAAAAAATTAAACATCGCTATGTTCCTTTAGTGGCGATGTTGTGCACAGTGCACTGCTTGAAAATTAGACATATAGAATTTTTTTTGCACGAAACTAGTTACACGTAAAAGCACCGTGCAATTTTAAAGTTATAGCGCGCAGTTTTGTTTTAATGCTGACAATGCGATCGCACACGGGAGAAATCTACGTGCGAGCTCAGAACGGACACATGGGCTACGTTTACACCGTACGCTTAGTCCGCGGCCTATACAATAGATGTCTTTGTTCATTCTGTAGGTTAAATAAAGACACCTATCGTATAGGTCGCGGACTAAGCGTACGGTGTAAACGTAGCCATGGATTCGGCAAGAAATCCGACACGCGCGTAACAGCACCGTGCGTTTTTGAAATTACAATACGCAATTTTAATTTAATGCTAGCACTGTCAGATAATTTGAAGCACACTGAAAAAAAAGATTGGCTG